GAAGACTCTAGAAGAACTGAACTTCACGGATTATTTATGTATAATGTCATACAGACCGAAAGCAATAAGTTGACAGAAGAAGCAGTGAATATAGATAAGACAAAGGTGATGAGGATACTTGAAGAACAACAACAACAAGGAAGTCCACTCCTTCAGTTATCTAAGCAGCATAGCTTCAACTACAAAAGCACTAATGAGGATGTCAAAGCTAATCAAGATCGGAAAGACAAGATAAACTGTCCTTAATCTGAGATCAGCGTGGAGATCTGCAGCACTAAGGCATAAGGAACAAGATCCAGATCTTCAACGCTAATGTCAAATCAGTTGTTCTATATTGTTTCTGTGACTTCGCATATGCGCGTCACTTAGATCATTTTTTAATAGGGTGCAGCAGACTTTCACAGTAACAGCTGCTTTCGCTCCAACCTGAAGATCACACGGATAAGTAACAAGGAACTTCTAGTTGACAACTAACCAACCAATCAAGAACCTGTCGTCCAACAGGTATGTAGAAGGAATATCGGATATACGTTGAAGAGACCGTTGGAAAACATCCCGTGCCAGATGTGGGTCTGAGGGTGGGAAAGGTCATTTGAGGAGGAAATGAAAGCCTATGGGCAGTAATAGAGCAGGCTAAAAAAGACTGCAAAGGACGGAGTGAAATGGTGATGTGCTGCCGAAGCCTTATGTTCCACTCGAAATATAACAATAAGTATAAATTAGTGGAACAAAAGACAAATTTCGCAGCACTTTGTGTTTCTAATTACTAAGCTTTTACATTATTTCTTCAAAATTTCTTATTTTATTCGACATATTTATAATTTTACTGATAAGGGGATGTTCAATTACTTCTAGAAACATAACATTAGTTGGTAAGTTAGGTAGACAAAATTAAGTTACTCGGAACAGATGTTTCCTGTGCTTGGCAGTGCGGCAGCTTACACTCATTACGTGAGGGCTGATAATACTACCAGTGTAACGACAGAAGACAAGGGCCAGGCAACAGATCGTTTATTGAGAAAATCAACAGATATTTATGGATTTTTATGTACATTATTATTAGCGTTATTGTTAGCAGAGAAGCAACGTCTTCTGAGTGGTTATTTTCCTGCTGGAGGTTATTCTGTTATCTCTTTGTGACCGTTTCTTAGAAAGTCAGGCCATATATCTGCGAATCGTATTTGCACACGCAAAGTCTGCTGTGATTGGTTGTTGAGTTCCTCAAGGTTAGGCCTTTGTTATTGTGGTTTTTTCTCATGACCCCGATTCGGGACGTAAACATTGACGTAAATTGTTGTCTACAATTTTGTCTAGTAGACAGCTCTCACCACACCAGAATGTCCAAGCTGTTGCAGGTGGAATGGAATTCGAATCACGAATCAATTTACTGAGTGAGTCATATCTCCACAAAACACAACGCTAGACAAATAAGGCTAGAAGCATTTCGATTTCCCACTAGTCTTTGGTTTCAACAACAGTAAAGTTAGTTGATTTAATCGAGTTTTAGATTTTTCCCGTCAATTGATTGGACCGAAGTGCTCGGTCTCAGGTTGACATGTCGGCTTCTTGAACAGATGCTTCGACGATGTCTGGGCATTTAATTAGTATTTAATTGGTGGATGGTGACTAGCAGTGGAATCCGGGATGCGCATTTCGTCCTATTCGGGACTCGTCATCTGGATGTACCTGCATTTCTCACTGAGTGATGATGTTCCCACCGAGGCTCGAACCCAGTGCTCATAGTTTCCAACACCAAAGCGTTATCCACTAGACCACTTGGGCCACGAGAGCCACCTCTTGTGCAACGGGTCATGTTAATTTAATTGAATTTTAGAAGCCGACATGTCAGCCTGAGACCGAGCACTTTGGTCCAATCAATCGACGGGAAAAATCTAAAATTCAATTAAATCAATATGACCCGTTGCACAAGAGGTGGCTCTGGTGGTCCAAGTGGTCTAGTGGATAACGCTTTGGCGTTGGAAACTATGGGCACTGGGTTCGAGCCTCGGTGGGAACATCATCACTCAGTGAGAAATGCAGGTACATCCAGATGACGAGTCCCGAATAGGACGAAATGCGCATCCCGGATTCCACTGCTAGTCACCATCCTCCAATTAAAGTTAATTGAGTTTATACTAACATTCTTTCCATATTAATTTATTCATTGGATATATGACACACAGTGAAACAGTCTTATTTTTTTTCAGGTGTTCGGGATAGGTATTGATTCATCTCTCAGTTGATTCGATAAATGAAGCCGAAGGTCAATAAACTCACTCTCTAATCTGTTATAAAAGATTCTAAGACTGTCAACTTATCCCATCCAGTTGTATGGTTATGTGCAATTGCACGTAGTGCTACACACTGAACTATTTTCTAGATTTCTTATCTTAGTTAAGATTAACTAATCTAGATTTTGCTTGATTCCCTTTTATTATCTAAGAGTCTGAGAATACGCGTGATAAGAGTTCATTCAGCATCTGTCTCGGAAATATGGAATAAAATTCAACTACCCCTACGACGAATATGAAATAAGTACGAGAACTATGAAAATCAAGACTAATAAAACTCAATTTTCGATGTTGTGTAGTTACAGTTGATATGATTATTAATAATAAATTGTGTCTGAAACACCATCCTGTAAGTAATACCATCCAATAAACAAATTAATGTGGAATTACATACTATTGAAATGATGAAGTATTAATACTTATATTATTACTAACATTTTTATTCTATTTATGTTAATGAGTTGTAAGGAATTGTTTTCTTTTTAGTAAATCCGATGAAATCTCAAATAGATATTTAAACATTTAGAATTAAAAAAATACACTTAACCTTTGAACAAAATACTTTGTGTTGTAACTAAACCGATCAATTTATGCCTACATATTCGAGTTATTTTAAGGTATATAAAAGTGTTTTGTGAGTTTAAAAATGACTTAAGTCACGTAAAGAAATAAAAAGATTAACAGAGTGATATGCGGCGGATAAATACTACAGCGAAGAGAAACTTCAGCGACTTCAAAATAGTTTCAAGTTTGGTTACAGGAATTCATCATGAGCTGACATTGGTTAGAGAACCATAGGTAAACCAGGGAGTACTAGACAGCTGTTCCGTCCTAGTTTGGGACTCTTCAGCAGTACGCACTCACCGCCAGGGTTCGAACCCAGGACCTTCTGATTACAAGGCCAGCGAGCTCCTAGACCATTATGCCACTGGGACCCAATCCAATGGCCAGCCCATGAATTCTAACTTCTGCCAATTCACGATATAGCGCGACCGCTAGCCAATGTCTTCGGCGAGTATTTGTCCTCACACCCGACCTGCTGCACTCTACTGGTCACGACTTCTCACCAGAACCCCAGGTAACTACCTACCTGAATAAGGCCAGTGGCCAGTGAGCATCTCATTGATATTCAAGTATTGGTTTGTAGGGATTTGGTTGATTGAAGTTTGATGGCAAAGTGATATCAGTTAGAGAACCAGTGAAAACTAGAGAGTACTGAATAGCTGATTAATCCTAATTAGGGACTCCTTTTCAGTACGCAACCGCTGGGGTTCGAATTCAAGACCTACTTGGTTACAAGGCGAACTTGGACCCGTTCAAACAGCCCATAAATCCCAACTCTGACCAATTCGTGATTTCAGCGCAACTGGCACCAGTCAATGTCATCAGCGAGTATTTGTCTTCACAGCTAACCTAGTGGACCTCACTGGTAACGACTTTTTATTAGGAATCTAGGCAACTTCGTCCTTCAACCAGTCACTAGCTGAATGGTCTACAAGCTTGCCTTGTAACATGAAGGCACTGGGTTGGAAACCCAGTGGGTGCATACTGCCGAGGAGTCTCAAGCTAGGAAGAAACAGCTTTCCATTACTTCCTGGTTTTTAATAGTTCTCTAAATGACATCAGTCTGTGACCAAACTTGAAACAAACTTTCATTGCCCTAAAAGACAACATCGTCAGCAAGTCCTTCAATTTGTTGAAGTGAGCTTATAGATTTCTCCACGAGTTTACTACTGATCTCTTCTGGCCATCTTGGAAGCCGTGACTGGTTGTTTTTATGTGTTTTCAAACCCTCTCTAGGCTACTTGTATATGTATTGGTGATGATTGTTTCCTTGATCTGAAGTTTGCCCATTGTGTATGAGATTTCCTTGTTATCGACTGGTAAATTTTGTCTATGTTAATGTGTCTTTCGATTTTTCTACTATACATAAAGAACGTCTCAGAAATCACTGCAAGACTCGTCAAACCTTTAGGAATTGATGTCACACACAAATCAACAAATCACTTCGCTCAGCTCTGTGCCAACCAAAAGACTCAACAACGAAAGAAGATAAAACCAACATCATTAACAAAATAATTTGCAACAAGTGCGAAAAACACTACATTGGCCAAAGTGGACGTCCCCTTCGTCTTCGTATGCATGATCATAAGCTAGCTGTCAGAAGACATGTCATTCGACTGAGACAACCAGCGTTCAAATATTAGACAGAGGAAACACCAAGAATGCTAAGGAATTTTTAGAATAGTGGTATTCCAGTGAATCGTCAAACAGTACACATTGACAGAAAAAAAATTTACCAGTCGATAAGAATAAAATCTCACACACAATGGGCAAACTTCAGGTCAAGGAAACAATCAACACCAATATCAATACAAGTAGCCTAGAGGGTGTGAAAACACACAAAAACAACCATTCACGACGTTCAATGTCACCAACTAGGAGAGATGATTAATAAACTCGTGGAGAAAACTAAAAGCTCACTTCAGCAAATTGAAGTATGCGCTGAAGATGTCGCCTAGTAGGGTAATGAAAGCTTCTTCGCTAAACCATCTAGTCCAGAGAACACAACTACATCAAAATCATCCACCTGAGTTAAATATCTTCTCTATTATGATAAATACAGTAGATTGTTAACTAGCAAAAGTGGTTTAACATATTAGGAAGTTTAACATATTAGGAAGAAAGAAAGACAACAACTTTACTTACTTTCCCGTCTGCATCAGCTCCCCATCCTCTAGGAATTGGGATTCCTCTTCTTCGATTCATTTCAATCTTGTAATTTTAACGAAAAAACAATGCACAACAATATCAGAATGAGTTCTCAATAAAATAAAGGCAAAGCTAAACAAATGATTCATAAGTTCGTTTTTGTAAAAACGGATATTTTCACTTCCCAATAACAGATAGAACTACTCAAATGAGGAAACCTGAATTAAAGTAAAACATAGCACTTGACTGCTTATATTAGTTAGTAATGATACTAGTAAATAGTTGTAAATGTGGTGATCCTAATGGCTTCAATCTACACGTACATATTTCAGGTATTGTTTGACCAATTTCTTTACTACATGTTGGAGCTATATGTATCATGCGTGGGCGTGTAAGTTATGAATCAAATATTTCAAATTACGCTGCAGTCTATATAAAGCAGCACTGACTGATTATTTTCCATTAATTTGATGATATTAGATGGTTGGAGACAATCGGCCACAGCGAGCCGTGTTTTGACCTAGGTTTCGTGCTAGTTGTCACTCATCAGTAAGGCGTATCTGCAACCTTGAAGGAAATCATATCCCTTCTGAGATTCAAACCTGCTTCACCCAGTGGTGCGGTCAGAGACGGTACCACTGAGCTATTCAGACTCGCGATTGACTTCCTGCATGACTGTAGTGGATACTTTGATTGGGCATTAGTAACGTCTCTGATTGCAGCACTGGGTGACGCAAATTCGAATCTCAGATGGGAGGGATATGAGTTCCTTCAAGGTTGCAGATACGAGTGCCAACTAGCACGAAATCTAGGTCGACGGCTTCCTGTGGCCGATTGTCTCCAACCATCTAATATCATCAAATCAATGTGCACCGTGATGGCGAGCTACCTAGAATGGTGGCCACATTGCAAACCTGACTGATAGAATTCAGTCTGCACCAAAGACAGGACAAGACACATCACACTAGTGCCCAATCAAAAAATGATTATTTTCTAATTTATTCTTCCAAAAGTTTATTAAGTTTTACTAATAGAATACATATAACGTTTTATCAAATATACGATGATACAGTCTGGTTCACTAAAATTCAGTACATGATAGTGTCAGTAATGAATAGGTGAACCATCCAGTTCAGTAAACATAGAAACACTGATACTCATGCACCTGAGACAAATGAAATTTTCTCTATAAGAAAAAGTTCCGTTATTGGATATTTAGGATTATTTGCAGAGAGGTGACCATTGACAAACTAACTATGTGTACAGGTTCGACTACGAGCTCCATTATGGATAAAATTTTATTTTGATAAAATCACACAATGTTATACAGTATTATTTACTGATGACCACATTTTCAGCATAATTTATTGCCCACCATAATCATATCAAGTCACTACTCACATAACTTTCTTGCGTCGTTTATATACATGAGTAAAAATTGATGATTAGACATTTGAATAGAATAAACATAAGATAAAGTATATTTCGAAATAATAATATGAGTGTTATCAATCAAATACAATCAGATGGGAAATAAGATGTTAGAATGTTATAATGTGAATTGAACTGAATACACTTTAACATTATTTATTATCCTCCTCTGATTTGACTGGCGGTAATAATATCTTCCATGTCTCTGGTATTTGCACTGAGTCACTTCTATTGCATGTGTTGGGTGTAGACTCGATGAAGCAGGAAGGATTCAGTAATCAATCTCTCTCTCTATCTCCAGCTATCTATGTGACTCTTTAGTATTTTGACTCTGTCCCACTCACCCTATTGTGTGGTTGTGTGTTAATGCATGCATGCAGTGCGATTGCTGAGTCTGTTTTCTAAATTACTTATCATCGTGGTGTCAATTATTCCAAACTTAGCTAACAAGTTACTTATTACTTTTGCTATGAAAAACATCTTATTTCCCATCTGATTGTATTTTATTGATAACACTAATATTATTTCCGAATGTACTTTGTCTTACATTGATTTTATTCAAATGCCTAATCATCAGTTTGTTACTCATGTATATAAGCGAAGCAAGAAAGTTATGTGAGTAGTGACTTGATATGATTATGGGGGGGCAATAAATTGTGCCCGAAACGTGGTCATCAGTATATATTACTGTATGACAACACTGGTTGATTTTATCAGTATAAAATTTCATCGATAATGGAGTTATACTCTACCACCACAGTGGACAAGTTTTATCCTTATATCGACCACGAGCTGATGTCAGCCACAGAACCATTGGAAAACTACCAGAGAGTATTGGATAGCTTTGTCATTCCAGTTTGGGATCCCTTAACAGTACACACCCACTGGAATCCAAATCTCTTGGTCGCTGAGTGAGACCGTAAACCCTCCAGCCAACCCAATGGCCTGTGAATCCCAACTTCAGCTAATTTGCTATAGATAGCGTCACCACTAGCCAGTGTTAGTGGCGAGTAACTGTTCTTTTACCTGGCTTGGTGGATACCGCTGGTCACTACTTCTCATAAGAACAACAGACACCTTCTTGTATGCAGCCAATCACTAGTGAGCATTGGATTAATTTTCAGGTTTTCGTGTGTAGGAATTTGATTGGTCACAGGTAATCACTGATCACGAAGTGATATTACTTAGAGAACCCCGGTAGGTGAGCACTGTCAAAGCGTTTCAAATAAGGACGAAACAGATTTCTATTACTCCCTGATTTCTTAATAATTCTGTAATTGATGTTGGCTCGTAATCAGTCCTGTAGCCAATCAAATGCCTGCAAACTGATATTTGATAATTATGCTTAACTGTCCTCAATCACATTTTTACTTGAAGTAATTAAAGATCTTTACAAAACTGAAGGAATTTCATGTGGCATTTTTATTGATAATTCAGATAAAATAAAAAGTGACGCATTCGTGTCTTAGGAACAAGTAGTCCTTGTAACGTTTGTCTGACATTTTCGATATGTGACTTTGTAAGACGAACAAGATTAGAGATATTTGATTGTAATTTTATAAAATTGCCTCGTGAATGAATGATTTTTCAATACATAATTCATAAAATTCCAACGTCTTGCGTTCGACAATAATTTTTCACATCTAAAGTTAACAAGTTCTTTTAACCCCTTTTGATAGTGTGTGTGGAGGGAGTCTTCTCTTTAAAAAAATTAGAATCAATTAGTTCCCTTTGTAAAACTTTGAAATTCAGTAAATTACAATCAAATAACTCTAATCTTGTTCGTCTTACAAAGTCACATATCGAAAATGTCAGACAAACGTTACAAGGACTACTTGTTCCTAAGACACGAATGCGTCACTTTTTATTTTATCTGAATTATCAATAAAAATGCCACATGAAATTCCTTCAGTTTTGTAAAGATCTTTAATTACTTCAAGTAAAAATGTGATTGAGGACAGTTAAGCACAATTATCAAATGTTTGTTTTCACGGATCTGATTGACTACAGCTTTCATTACGAGCCAACATCAGTTACAGAATTATTAAGAAATCTGTTTCGTCCTTGTTTGAAACGCTTTGAGAGTATTCACATACCGGGGTTCTCTAAGTGAGATATCACTTCGCGATCAGTGATTACCTGTGACCAATCAAATTTCTACAAACGAAAAACTGAAAATTAATCCGATGCTCACTAGCAATTGGTTGCATACAAGACGGTGTCTGTTCTTCTAATGAGAAGTAGTGACCAGCGGTATCCACCAAGCCAGGTAAAAGAACAGTTACTCGCCACTAACACTGGCTAGTGGTGACGCTATCTATAGCAAATTAGCTGAAGTTGAGATTCATGGGCCATTGGGTTGGTTTAAACTGGCTGGAGGGTCTACGGCGACCACTCACTCACTCAGCGACCAAGAGGTTTGGATCCCAGTGGGTGTGTACTGTTAAGGGATCCCAAACTGGAATGACAAAGCTATCCAATACTCTCTGGTAGTTTTCCAATGGTTCTGTGGCTGACATCAGCTCGTGGTCGATATAAGGATAAAACTTGTCCACTGTGGTGGTAGAGTATAACTCCATTATCGATGAAATTTTATACTGATAAAATCACACAGTGTTGTAGAGTAATATTTACTGATGACCACGTTCCGAGCATAATTTATTGCCACTCATAAGCATATCAAAACATTTTCACTAAACAAGCTGATAAAAGTTATTCCGGTAATAATGCTGAAATATGGACAAACTAAAGACTTAACATTTGAACACTGAGAGTATTTAAGATGGTTTTGAATTATCAGACTATCAATTAACCAAGTGCTCCTCTCTCCTTCTGTTTCAGGTTCTGATTATGATTGATAACAGCAAACGACATAGTTAGGCAGCTAATGTGATGATGAGTGATGACCAAATCAGAAGCCGTGTCTTGCAGTCCCTTTTGGTAGATCGCCAGACTAGTAACTTGCTGGACGCTGTTTCAAATCCTATGGCGACCGAGCTTTTTATTTCATCTTCAATCATCACATATAACTTTAAATTTTGTTTAAATATATGAGCAAATTTTATACTAGTGGATAGGTTTTATGGATTTTTATTCCATCAGGTGAAAATTTCAGGTAAATTTTCTTCCATCTCATCAACGTGGATTCCATGAAGTTTCATAACCACTAGTGGCGACTCCTGGCAAATCCACCCATCCACATCTGTATTGATCTCAACTAGTGGACTACTAATGTAAGCAGACATTTCTATGCGATCTAGCGTATTCTAAGCAAGAATCGAAAAAGTTTACAGTTTGGATCATATTTACAGATTGCGAATGAATTCACTACTTGCATTTTACACAGTCTGAGGTAAAAATATTCAACACAATTTCCCTCAAAAACTCGAGCTCTGCAGTCACGTGACAGTAATGACGTTTTTCTATTAGGTCATTCAAGAAAAAATGAACTTCCATGGTTCAGAGAGTCAAGAATTGGTTGAATTTCACAAACAGTGAAAAGAGTAGATACAGTCCACCGGCTTTTGAATCCTAACATCTCAGCTATTTTAGACAGAATCTACACCTTCTTAAGTGGCACAGACTAATGATTAAGGACTTTAGGGGTTCGTGTCACAGTTTCTCTCGAGTAAGACAGTAGCTCTCTAGATGCACAAAATATATATATCTGAACTACGTTTGCAATGCATTTTAGTGCTAAATACATTAACCATATACCTAATTTCAATACTATGATTCACTCTATAGTTCAAACACACACACACACACGATTAATGTCATGAAGACATTTAGGGTTTACCGTCAGAAAATGTTGACTATTAAATATTGTCTTCTGTAACGTGATGCAGCGGTTACTGCAACTATTTCTTCTGGGGATTTTAAGAATGAAAAACACCCAAAGGTTATCTGTTTTTGTCTGCAAATAAACGTAGGAAAGCTCACCTTGCCCAATGCGACAGCACTTGTAGCCATATCTAATACAAAATGATCTTCAGGTTTTTTGCCTGGTGCTGCTAATGTGATTGGATTGGTTCCAACGGCTAACTGTTAAAAAAAGAGGAAAACAAAAAAGAGAAATCGTTTCACCTACATAAATACAGTTTATAATAGTATTGTATGTTTTAAACAAATAATAATAAAAATATTGGCTTTATTCTGGGCAGTGTTTGTAGAATATACAGAATTTTCGGCGGGGTTTATAGCATGATTTTTACCCTTCGTACAGGATTTTATTAATTATTAATAATAATCGACAGTAGACCCTATGATATAGTATGCATCGGTGGTACAACGGTAGAATGCTCGCCAACCAAGCATGCGGTTCGGGGTTCGAGCCCCGGCCAACGCACTCCGAAACTTCGCTAAGCCGGTTTATAGGACCGGTAAAGAGGAAAGGTTGGTCATGAGGTCAGCAATCCACTCCGTAAAAAAATAAACACTGACACTTCAAAGCTCTAGCTTGAAGCCCTATGTTCCACTGTGAACGTAAAAGAATAAGATAATAAGAAAAATAATGACATGATCAGTATGCTTATGACAGAAGTAAGAAATCAAGAAAGTTCGGCAGTGATTCAGTAGTAGAATATTTGCCATCCACGCATGTGGCGCAGGGTTCGATTCCCGGCCGAAGTACTCTTAAATCTATAACCATCTGATTACTTAATTCCATGTATTTTCATCAGTGAATAATAGGCGTTAACTGGTGCCTGATTAAAAAGGAGTTAGAAGTAGTAATTAAAAGGTGTAGTTGCCCGGTATGAATATGATTTTAAGGACGACTGATTGGTGGATGATCAGTGTAGAACTTGGAATTTTCGATATTAGATGGTTGGAGTAATCGGGAGGTTTCGTGCTAGTTAGCACTCGCCAGTCAGCAAGGCGTATCTGCAACCTTCTTGAAGGAACGCATATCCCTTCTGAGACTCGGACCCCCATCACTCAGTGGGTGCTGCAGTCAGAGGCGTTACCACTGAGCTATTCAGGCGTACGATTGACCTCCTGTAGGACTGTATTGCACAGGATTGATTGGACACTAGTTAGTAACTGAATTTTACCAATCACGCTTGCAATGTGGCCATCACGGTGCACTTTGAATTGTTGATATTAGACGGCTGGGGGCAATCAGCAGGAAGCCAAACAAAAGACCAGGCACATTACACTAGTTAATAACTAGTGTCCAATGAAATGCAAAATCTCAAAACAGCACACAGAATAAAGAGGCAGCAAGAAAATGGCCCTTCAATAGGCAACTATGGATGCAACAAAAAAATGATTGGGAGGGGATAAGTGAAGCCTAGCATGATCAAAAAAGCAGTAAAGAGAAAGAGTATATCAGCAACATTGTGAACGATTCTTAGTTATATAATCGAAAGTCTCTAACCAATGATTCTTAGAATCTTAGGTACTTCAGCCGGGTAGTCTGCATTTACTCACGTGGCTGACAACAGCGGTCATTGATTTTATAGACTGATGTCATGTTTCAGTCCAGCAGTCTTTTAATCTTATCTAACCTTATCCTAATCCCGCTCATATTGCTAAATAAAGGAGGTGGTGTTTAGCATGCGTTACACATATTTCAAACCATCCCAATGTTCATAAGAATAAATTGAGTAGGTCTTGTTGTACAGTTTAACTTATCCATATTGTGAATAAGAATTTGACAGATACTATCACTGGGGTTGGATTTCAACAAGCACTAGCGTTAGGAATAAAAACCTTTAAACGTACAGAGGAATGGATATCAGTCCGTTAAAAAATTCTACGTTGACTGCAGCTAAATCTTTGAGAGAATATATATACAGCTGAAAAATAACCTACTTCTGTTTGCTAGTCATCAACCGGTAAGTCTGGTGTAGAAGCAAACACCTGAAGAAGCCAAGCCTATGTGTTCAGAAGAAATTTGTACAGCCACTTTCCTTACCGTCGATGGCCACCATTGTTACAAGAATGCATAAACAGGACTACGTCGCCACCCTCCCCCTTAACCTTTAAAAACTATAAAAATTATAATTGTCCAAATTTTTTTATTTTATTTTTATTTTTTCCGATCACTTCATCTTTAATTACGTATTATCCTTGTAAAATCAACTTATTCTAACCATTTCTACCTTTTAAATGTGTATTGATTTTCTTCGTTAATTATCAACCCATTGACATTTTGACACTGTTTAATTATTGTTAACAAACATATCACCACTAGTTTGGTAAACTGCTGTGTATTGTAATAAAAATGCTATACGTGCATATTAGAGTAGAGCCAGAGATGAGGATTTAATTGAAAAGTAAATATTTCTTCGCTCAATCTTTCTGTTTTCTAAACACTCACTAACCAAACCAGATAGAGATAAAACTTTTACACAAAAGGTGGCAATCATGGGCTGTCACATTAGGTGAGTTACGACGTGTACTCATCCTAAACAGACTTTCATAAAAGGGGATAGCAGTGACCGGTGAATCTTAAGTCAAGACAAAACAGCTGACCAGTAAACATAGTTATTCCTCTTATTTCTTGTAACTGACAAAATCCCAGCACATACAACAAACTAATCGATCTTTTTTTATACATATATTTGCAAGTGATTACCCTGTTAAGAAATAGAACTTCTACGTATATTGTAAACATGTGACTTTACAATCTTTCGTCATTTTTGTATTATAAGGTAACCGTTTTTTTGCTTATCTTAGTTTTGTTCCACTTTTTCAAAAGTGAAAATAACGACAAATATGCACAGAAAAATAAAGGGATAATTTTTGGAAATACAAGCTTACAAGAGTATGTAAATAAACGTACAGTACAACACTAACAAGAAATAAGGACAATGTACCGTACTTTTTGCAATCAACTAATTAAAAATGCTTTAGCGTGCTAACAAAAAAAAAACTAATCGATTCTCAATAAGTAATTCTTTTTTTTAATTTTTGTTTAAACATGTCCATTGGAAAGACTGATTAGTGTACGAAAAGAATATTCGTTATTTCGATAACTCCCTCTAAATTAGCTTCTCCGGTTATATGACTATAATAATTAAGACAAAGTGATAAGAAGACGTAGTTTGTTTGAATCGTGTAATGCTGTATTTGTGTAACACACGGACTTGTTGTAGGAATATATATATGAAATTAATAAAGAGTTAAGAGGTGAGAAAATAAATTTAGGTCGAGTTAAAAAGACATATTGAAGGTCAAAATAAAAATGAAGATCACGCTAAATCACGAACTGGTAGAAGTTAGAATGTATGAACTAGCCAGTGAATAGGGTCCAAGTGGCTGAATGGTATACGAGCTGGCCTGTTTGTAACCGGAAGGTCATGGGTTCAAATCTCAGTGTGTCTGTGTACTGGCGATGATTCCCAAACTAGGATGAAACAGCTGTCCAGTACTTGCTGGTTGGTCTTAAAAGGTTCTCTAACTGATATCAATCCGTGATGAACTCGTAAACACAAAACTAATCATTACAAACCAATTATAGAAGATCACTAAACCAAATAACAGAGGTAATAGTACATCTACGCTGGCTGGTATCAAAACAAACTTTACCAAGGAAGGACCCCTTTTTAGCAGATATCTACATGTCGTACACTGAAAGTTTATCAGAGGTTTTAATCGAAAATGTGCCACTTTATAGAAAGTATGTAGACGACATTTTTAATCTTAAGTGATAAGCCTTGTTCTGCTACCTCAATTTTAAATCGAATGAATGAAGTTCAGAATAGCATATCACTTACGTCCATAGAAGAGCAAGATAATTAAGTATAATTATATTTCAATAGTTTACACACAATGATAAGTTTTGTTATTAGTAATATTTCGAGCAAAATTACTGCCCGTGTTCACACCACTGTTGGAATTGTTTGATTCGATAGATAATTGTTTATCTTTCCTAGACATATTGGTTAGTCGACGGTTTGATGGCTCAATAAAACGATTTATTTATAGAAGATCTACTCGGACAGGACAGTATCTTAATTATCACAGTTTCTGCTCTGTTCGGTACAAAAGAGACTTAGTGAGTGAGGTGCCTCTTCAGTAGAATCCAACGAATATGGACTGAAAACACACTTGATGAAGAAGAAAGTTGACACAAACTCTGGTTGATAAAAATTATCCGGACAAGTTCATTAGGAGGTATAAGGTTGTCAGAACACCAAGACCCACTCTCCAACTCGTCCCTAAGAAAGACGTGTACATCAAGCTACCCTATATGGGGCATCATAGCAGCTTGATAACTAGATAAAGATTGAAAACTGCTGTTAAAAAGACTTTTTATGCAGCTAATATCATAATAATTGAGAATGTGAAGCCAATATATCTATCTAAACACTTTGAACATGTATTTACCAATTTGAATGTACGTGTGGAGACACATACATAGGGAGGATTCATCGATCTCTTCAAGTGAGAGCTGGCTTCAGAGCATATTCCTAAATGGCTCCAGCGGCAAATAGAATCTTCAGAACCCATTAATGGTGAGAACAGGAGACCTAGCTGCTCTGTTGTCAAACATATTATAGAGACAGGACATACAATTGACGTTAACACATCTTTTAAACCTATCTATAAAACGTATTTGGGGCGTATCCTAAAGTTTGTGGAAGCCCTAGTTGGCAATTAGGAAGTTTAAACCAATTGTATGCGTTCGAAAACAATTCGTCATCACACTAAACCACGTTCTTCGGTAAACTTTGTTTTGATAGCAGCCAGGTCAGATGTACTATTACCTCTGCTATTTGGTTTAGTGATTTTCATTGTTATTTTATTTGACCTTCAATATGTCCTTTTAAACTGACGTAAATTTATTTTCTCACCTCTTACCTCTTTATTAATTTCATACGTATATTCCTATTGTAACGACAGTAGGCTAGAGTCAGGCAACAGATCATTTATTAAGGAAATCAACGCATATTTATATATGTTTTCATGTACATTACTATGGATACGTAAACAAACAAACACAGTCTTCCGATTGGTTGTTTCTCACGTCAAATCTTAGGAACGTAAATACTGACGTAAATCACTGTCTACCAATTTGGCTAGTAGACAGCTCT